TGGGGGAAGGGGGCGGAGTTGGGGCGGGGTGGGGAAATGGGCGGGGCCATGGCCCGTGGAGGGTCCTCTTTTTTTATTTATGAGATATGGTAACCCTAAGCAAGAGGGTTGGACATCTTAGCTCCGGCAGATGGCCGATGAACATAGGCTTCTTGGCCTAAAGAGGAGGGACTGTCACCGCAGGGATGAGGTGGCAAGGGTAGGGGGACGCAGGCCCACCCGACTCCACTGCATCCCAGCCCAGAGCCCTAACAGTGGCAGAGTGGTCTGCCACTGGGTCAGCAGGGAATCCAGCCGCAACACGCTGTCTGGGTCTCTGGCAGCAATGCAGCCAGATTAAGGTTGACTGCCCCAAAGCCACTTCCTCCGCTCACTTCAAGTTGTACCTGGATCCACAGGGGGTCCTTCGCTTCATCTGGATAGAAGGCCCATGGTAGTCCCAGCACCTGCTCTGTGGCTTGGTCAGCGGGTGGCTCCAGCAGCTCTGGCCATTCCTTTGCACCGCAGGGGTCCGCTGCAGTCTCGCAGCTCAGGAGCAGGCAAAAGGCATCTGGCTCCTTCAGGGGCTGCAGCCCAGCTGAGCTCCAGGACCCGCTTTTTATACTTCCTGTTCCTCCCTCTCACTTCTGGTGGGAGGGGCGAGCACAGCTTGGCTCCGCCCACCAGGGCTCGCAGCATGGTCCCTCCCCCCCTCTGGCTCAGTGGGAGGCCACTCTGCCTCACTACAGAGCTAAGTTGTATAATTAAACATTATTTTGAAAAATCTGCATTTGTTTTCACAGTAGAACTGAACAGCTCTCCCTACTGCTTTTACAGTCCCATGAAGAGATGGCTGTGAGTGCTCCAGGAACAGCTGTTACCAGGGATAGCCTATACTCTTGCCTCTCCTTCCCTGCATGTTTGTACGTCACCCAAAATAGTCTCTTGTCTCAGGTAGGGGAGAAGAAATTACCCCTATCTCTTTATCTCTATTTGCTGGACAAAGGCTGGAGGGACAGGAAGGGCATCGTGCCATAAACAAGCAAAAATGAAAAAGTTAGCCAAAGTGACACTTCAAGCTGGCATCAACCTGTTATATGGAAATCCTTCCCTTCAAGCGAATCTATATCTGAAGAGGTGCTATCAGCGATGGAGGCTGTGCAGATGGAGAGGAGGGTATTTGTTTGTGACAGCAGCTCCCCAGGCTGGCACAGGATGCATATGTGGAGTTAGGCTGCTGGTGTGGTACTTCTGTAATTATAATAATTTCCGTTGACAAACTTTCTTCACAAGCCACAGTGAGGGAGAAAGAGTGGAAAGGAAGGGAATGGGAAAGCAGTGTTTTCAATCAATCAAATAATATCTACTCTATGGTTTGGCTCACTCACGAACATGAATAGGAACTAAACCCTCAAAAACAAGCAGAGGGACAGATAAATGTGATTGCTTGTTGTTATTTGCTATATTTCTACAGAAGCTCTCCATTGTGTCTTTTTCATTTTTTTGTTCTGATATTTTGTCATGTTATTTCTGGCGAGGGTGGTGGGGGGGAAGGAATCTTGAAAGAGGTACCCTATTCATACAGAAAAAAATCTGGCTTGTGCACATCTGAAGTAGCACAATAAAGGATTTGACCCTGCTTGGACTATTTTATGTGACATGGAGACGTGAAGGATGCCAGAGACAAGACTGCAGTACCAAAACTCTCATTAACATCAGTGTGGGGAGTATGAGACCCGGTGTGTTCCAATATGTGGATTTTGTGCTAACAATTGTGCTTTTCTTCTAAGAACGTTTCAGGTTCACAGAGTGACGCAAACCTTGTTGGATTAGAGCCATTCAGCACCTATTTTATCAGTGTCTCTGCTTTTACAAGAGTTGGAAATGGCAATCAGTTCAGTAACATTGTCCAATTCACAACAAAAGAATCAGGTTAGAAACCGTTTTTTTTTTTCATGAACTGCAGCATTGTCTATGCAGATTTCTTTTTATAACTGAACAGCATTCTTCCTTTGCTCTCCAAATGTAATGGAACTCAGAACTATATCATTGTCACAACATGCACTCACCTTCCTATTGTACCTGATAGGTGAGGTCTTTACTTTTCAAGTTCGATGTTAGAAGTCTGAAATTAGAAATATCCTCAATTGAACAGATAGGCATATATGGCTCCTATAAATCTTTCTGTAGCACACAGATAGTAGGAGGAAAATTAGATAAATATCAAACTTTGGAGAATAAAGTTATATTTTAGATCACTGTGAAAGCAACTAAGTTACAGTAATATCACAGGCAGCTGGACAAAGAGATGGGAAATGAATCAGAAGCTACTTTTTAACAAATACAAATGTTTAACATTTTCTGATAACTTATTTAGGGAACAAAGGCAGTCACTAATTAAACATCTTCCTTTGTGATATCTCAGTCTTTCTAACAATTGGGAAGAATTATGCAATATAATTGATTTAATTAATTAACCATTTACTAGCTGCATCTTGTGCTTGACACATATCCTTTGAAGTTACAGAAGCTAGAAAACTGCCTTTTTCCTTTCTAAACAGGGGCACTGAGAAGAAAGCAGAGAAGAGAGGGGAAGAGAGCACAGGCAGGATTTAGCCTGCTAGGAACTGTTTATTTTAAATGACTAGTAGCTATTTAATATATTTTTTTACTAGTAACAAATGTTTATCATGTGGTTAAAAGTGATAAAATGATAACATGAAAAACTGAAAATTCTCTAAAGCTATAGGGCCAGATCTCAGGGTGCTGGCAAACTATACGGAGCTCAACTCAGAGCATTTGAGCAAAGATAGTTTATAGCTTCTGTACAAGGCTGCTGCTGCTGCTGGGCCAACTCAGGGTATCCCTCAGGCTGCCCTAGTTACACTGGCAGCAAACAGCCACGGAGCATCAGGATTTAGGGGCCTCCTTTTCCTTTTGCTTTTCTATTCTAGCACCAGAAAGGAGGATAAGCCCCTACATTGGCTGTACAGCCCTGGAAGTTCACTCTGGTGCTGGCATCCGAGCCATGGTGTTAGACAGCTCTTGACTAGTTAGAAGGCCGAATTTCTGAATGCCATTTTATAACATGTTTTTCATGTACTTCTGTACCAGATCTGGACTGGCTACAGAGCTTGCTTATACAGACCAGATGTGTTGACTAAAAGATCTTTTAATGCTCTGCCAGGCATGGCTGAAGTTTTACACACTCTGCCACCTAGTGGCTGAACCGTATAATAAAGTTTAGTATTCCCTTAGATCAGTGATGGGCAATCTGCAGCCCATCACGGTAATGTGATTGCGAGCTGTGAGATATTTTGCTGACATTGACCATCTGCAGGCACGGCCCTCGCAGTTCCCAGTGGCTGTGGTTCGCCATTCCCGGCCAATGGGAGCTTTGGAAAGTGATGGGTCGCAGGGACGCACTGGCCGCCGCTTCCCACAGCTCCCATTGGCCAGGAACAGAGAACTGCAGCCACTAGGAGCTGCAGGGGGCCATACCTGCAAACGGCTAACGTCAGCAAAATGTCTCACGGCCCACAATCAGATTACCCTGATGGGCCGCAGGTTACCCACCACTGCCTTAGATCACCTCCTTTAAGTTCTACATTCCTACCATTTACAATATTTACACTATCATGCTATCTTTGAATTTCAGTACATATCAATCTGTTAAATGTCTCTCGTTTTCTAATTACATGATCCGAACACATAGCAGCTTGATCATCTGAGCCACAGGACTGGCTGTGGTTATTGGAATCCTTGAGTCATCTTCTTGTTCTGCAACAGCCATCTGTAGAGTTTGCTCTGCTGATTGTTCTTTCTGAGGATTAAACTGTAGATGTCGACAGTTTCTGTTGAACTGTCCACTGTCACGCTCGATCACATATGATCTGGGCACTGAATTCTTTTTCTTTATGATAGCTGGAGTTGTCCATCCTTTTTCTCCGTCCAGTTTGACATGAACATGGTCACCAGATTCTAGACCTGGGAAATGTCTGTTATAAAAGTGTTCATAAGCTCTTTTCACCTTTTTATCTGATCTGACTACTCTCTTTATGTCTGGCCACTTTGGAAATAGGTTCTTTTCCAGAGCTGGAACAGTAGTTCTGAGTTGCCTTTTGAGTTGTGCTGGACTATGTCAGTAGCCGCTATTGGTGTTGATCTGTAACTCAGAAGAGCAAGGAATGGATCTTCCTGCTGTAGGATTTTCTTGGCTCTCTCAGCTTCTTCATTTGCTTGTAGGTAATGTGGACTGCTAGTAATATGATCAAAATCATATTTCATTTGGAATTACTTAAATTCTGCTGTAGTTAATTGTGGTCCATTGTCCATCACTAGTTGTTCTGGAATACTGAAGTGAGTTTCTTGATAACACTGCAACTTGGTATGTCTTTCAAGTACATTATTTCTGTATACCTAGAAAAGACATCCACGATGCTGAGGTAATGGTGTCCTCTGAATTCACATAACTTTTCAGCTAGTCTCTTCCAAGATCTGTCTGGTAGAGATGGTGCTATTAAAGGTCCTTTGTGTTGTGTTGGCCTGTTAGTTCTGCGGTATTCACATGCAGATACAGTATTCTTTATGTCCTTGCTGATGCCTGGCCACCACACTGACTGCTTCACCTGTTCACAGCATTTTGTTAATCCTTGATGTCCTTTGTGGGTGAGGTTTAGTATTTCTGCTCTCATTTAGTTTGGAATTATGATGCAATTGTCTTTAATCATGAGTCCATTTGACTCACATAATTGTCCATGCACTGCAAAGTAACCTCTTGTCACTTCCTTAGTGTCCTTTAAATATGGGGGCCAATCACCTCCGTGTAACTTAGAACATCCGGAAGTTGCGTGTCTGTCAAAGTTGCTTTTTGTAGCTGTTGTAGTCTCTCTTCTGACACTGGTTTGTATCATTTTCCACACCTTTACATCATCTTCGAACTGTCTGCTACTAAAAGACTTTTTCCAGGTGCATATTTAGCATTTGGATTAAATCACATTAACCTAAGCAATAGACATTGTTATCTCAGTGGTGCTTGATCCAAGTCTTTCCCACTGATGAGAGTTACATGTAGTTTATGGTCTGTTATCAGCATAAACAAATCCAATCCACAAAGATACCTGTAAAAGTTCTCACATGCCCATATGCTTGCCAGGCACTCCTTTTCAATCTGTGCATATCGTTTTCTGCTTCTGTGAGTGTGAGAGAAAAACGAAGCTGGCTTCCACTAAATTCCATGTTGTTGAAACAATGTACCACATAGGGCCATAATTAATTGCATCCTAGCTGACCATTATGGATTTGTGCATATCATAGTACTTGAGACCTGGAGCTGCTGAGATAATTTCTATTACCTTTTTATAGGCAATTTCTTGATATGGCCCCCATAGCCAAGTTATGTTGGACTTCAGTTCATTCAGTGGTTTTGTCACTGTAGAAAGGACTTGTGGATACCCAACCAAGGTAATTTACCATCCCTGGTATATGTCTTAGTTCTGGAACATTTGTTGGTGCATTCAGTTAATTGCTTTTACTTTCTTGGGGCTAGGACTGATTCCATCTTTGTTTATTGTCTGCCCCAAGAGCTCGATTTGGTGTAGACAGAAAATGCATTTTTCCTTGTTTAGCTTCAGTTCAGACTGACTGATGAGGACTTTGTTGAGGGTTTTATTGTATTCTTCCATGGAAGATCCATATATAAAAATATCATGCACTAAGACTACAACTCCATTTGTATTTGTTAACAGTTCTGCCTTCTTTCTTTGGAAAATTTCAGGTGCATTGGTAATCCCAAAAGGTAATCTTTGAAAGCAGAATCTCTCAAAGGGTGTGATAAATGTTAGTTTAGCACTTTCTTTGGCTAAAGGAGTTTGCCAGAATCTGCTCGAGACATCAAACTCAGATAATACTGTAGCTCTTTTCACTTTGGGGAGGGAAGTCATCCAGTTTTGAGAGGATATATTTTTTTCTTACAACTGCTCCATTACGTCTTTTAAGATCCACACAGATTGTATTTTTCCATTTTTCTTTATAACTGGTACTATTCAGACACACATGCTGTTGGCTTAGACCTTTTCTCGATTACGCCAGTCTTCTCCATTCTCTATAACTCAGTTTTCCCTTTATGAAGTAATGGGAGAGGAATCCTGTACGATATATGTACACTATATGGTTGAGCATTGTCTCAAGGTTTTTTTTTATACTGCATCTCGTTTCAACAGTCCAATATCACCAAATATTCCATTGAGTTCTTCCACCTCCCTCACTAGGCTCATCATGGCTGCCACGTTGTGGCTGAGAAGGCAGCTGGTCTGTGGTTCTTTGATCAAATACATTCTGAATGCAAAGATTTTGTCTTTGTAAGTTGTTTTTGTAGTGAACTGGCCCATGCAATACAGAATTCCTCTGTGGATAGTCAGAGCTGTGTCAGGTGACTTCAGCTCTCGGAGGAGTTAAAGGTGATTGTAAGTCCCTTATGAGATGACTGTGAGCTCCTGAGTTACTTTTAAAGTCAATAGTCTTGTTATGAATATTCAGTCATCATAAATGATAGATCCCAGAAATGGCTCTTGATTCTTTGTAATATGAGTCAACTCCCTGACTGCTTTGGTACAGCAAACAGCTGCACAATGTCCATATTTCATGCATTTATTACACTATGTGCCTCTGTCTGGACATGCATCATCTCTTGGGACATGACTGTTTCTACATCGTGTGCATGTAGGCTGGAATTTGTCCCTTTTAACCTGGGAGTTGTCTCTCTTTGCCTTAGGGATCTTATGGTAATGACTTTTAGCACTTGTGCGGCATTTTTTAACAGCTTCTTGTTTTTCAAGTTTGTCAAGTTGCTGTTGATTTTGGTCTCACCAGCTCAGACTGCTTTGCTTTCTGTATAGCTGTGGCTACAGTTAAATCTCTTTTCAATTATATCTGCTGTGAAAGGGGTTTGTCTGTTAACCCAGTAACCAGCCTGTCGCTGATATCTTTGTTTTGCATTCCCCAAAGCACGGTTTTCAGCCAATGCATGCAGAGCTTATAAAGCTTTTGATATTTTCCTGTTTCTTGAATTCTTGAGATGAAAACATGCTCTGTCATAAAACCTATTTCTCTGAGAGACAAAGTATGCATCGAACATAGCCAGAACCCTTTCATAGTCATATTTGTGATTGTTTTCAGTAAATTCAAAGGATGTAAGGATATGTTCTGCTTGCTTCACCAGAGCATAAATTAAAGAAGATACCTGTATATCTCCAGTTTCTTTGTGGAGTTTGTTTGCAGTTTGAAATCTTGCAAAATACTGTTTCTAGTTTGACCATTGTGAAGATTTGTCAAAGCTGAAGTTCTCTGGAGCAGTGAAGAGTTGCATATGTATGAAATCCTAATCTTTGTTGCTTTGTTCCTTCTGTCTGCAACCTTTGTTGCTTTGTTCCTTCTGTTTACAACTTCTGTTGCTGTTTTCCTTCTGTTTGTGTTCTTAGTTTATTCCTGACTCCATGTCATGTATTTCTGTATCAAATATGGACTGGCTAGAGAGCTTGCTTACACACACCAGATATGTTCACTATAAGATCATTTAATGCTCTGCCAGGTATGGCTGAGGTTCGTTTAAATAAGGTATCTTACACACAGTGCCAACTAGTGGCTGTACAGTATCATACAGTTTAGCATCTGTTACAGTCTATATTTTTAGCAGCTGCATGTCCCACCATCCTTACAGTAGGATTTTGTCTTGTCCAGCAGCTACAGAGGCAGTCATCAAAGCTGTCTCTTTTGGTCAGTGACCTCATAGCCTCTCCCACATCCCTCCTTTCAGAAGGCTGCCTCCACTAGATGACACATTGCCCTTAGAGTGGGACCAAGTAATTTTAAAATTCTTTCTTCATATTTTCTGCTGGGCTCATAGGGCCCCTCCCCTTTTCAGCCATTTTTGGCCACTGAATCTAAGGGCTGGTCTACAGTTGAAAGTTATTGTAGAATAAGTTAGGGTGTGAATTTAAAGTGGACTAACTTTTCCTGAATGACTCTATGTGTAGGCACTCGTATTCTGAAATAAGAGTGCCATATTCCAAATGAGCCTATTCCATTTAAACTAATTTGGAATAAGGCACACACAATCTGGAATAACCTACATTTTATTTCCACTCTTTTTGGAGCACCTCTGCCCCACTGCAGCTCTCCCATGCTTCAGCAAAAAAGTTTTTTTTTAAATCTCCCCCAGTTCTATGTTCTCAATTGAGTAGCCTGACCTTTTATCAGCTCTTGCCATCTAGTTTAATTTTTCTGTGACTCTCCTCTGAGCAGATCCCTCACAGCCACACATCTGCTCCTATGAGACCAGTCCTCGTGTCTCAGTTTTCCCCATTTGCTCCATGTTGCAGTTTGGCTTTTATGGACTTGGCCACACCAAGTTCCTGCTTCTTCCAGCATGTTCCTGTGTCATGGAGGTGTTCGATATCAGGATTGCAGACAAGCAACATAAAAAGATACTGCAGTCCATAAGTGCTACCTTGTGTATAGAGTCCCACTAAGTCTTTGAAGCACAGGGACCGGTCAGTGCATTCCCCTTATCCTTGCCTGGATGCTACTATAAACTACCCTGGGGTCTGAGATGGCATAAAACTAGCCCCAGAATTGAGAAGCCACAAACATCTCTTTTGCATCTCCCTCACCCAGGTGCACTCAGCACTAACTGGGTAAAGGATTCATCCTTATGCCTTTATTAAAAATACACCGTGATCTCCTTTCTTCTGTAGATGCTGCTTTTGAAAGGAGTACTCTTCAAACTCTGGAGAGAAATATATGTATTTTTAAAAAGATCCATTTTCCTCTGTACCTGTAGTAATTAGTATGTTTCCCTCTATTTCTGGGACATTGATGCTAGTCAGTTCCCTACTGTATGGATTACTGGACATCGCTTCACTAGAGAGAGAAAAAAACAACACCTTTTCCTGTCGATTCTTTTCTCTTAGTTAGTACATCCCACAATCTGACTTTCCCTCAGAAAATTTAATCAGCTGTTCCATACCTTGGAGCCAGTTGTTTGTTTTCATGTTAAATATATAATACTGGTTTTACCTATGAAATTTGATGAGCTGCCCAGAAAGCTTTACAAGAATTCATCTTGTGGGGAAAGCAAATGGGTGGGACCAATAAAGTGACAGCTTTGAAGACTCCTCCAAAACTCCTGGGCAGGACACAACACTACTGTAGGGATTACCAGCCATAGGGTACAGTAAATGAGAGAAGGAAAGCTAAAGGGTAAGTAAAATTTTCTTTTGTAGTGTATCTGTTTCACATTACTGTATATGTTCCACTGTGCTGCTGATTAGAAACAATGGGGGAAATGTGGGTGTAGATGGGAGAGAGAAGGGAAAATGGAAGTTGGAGCATATTGTTAGTTTTAGGAAATATAATGTACTATCACTCTTTTCATTTCAAGCACTGCTTCAGTAATGTTAATAATTACTGGAAATAAAGCTTCTATAAAATATAGTCAGGGACATCTCTTCATTTAAAACACTTCTAGCCCAGTGTTCTCATTACAGTATTAATTTATCTGGCATTGGAATGCATGACCCTTATTATAAACATTATGCCTACATCTCTGATTATACTATAATGTGATTACCCTTTTGATTGTTTGGAACTGTTAACCTTTGGTGCATATGTATCTTTTAAGCTCCAGATGTTGTCCAGAATGTTCAGTGTACTGCAACAAGTTGGCAGTCGATTCTAGTACACTGGGACCCACCTTCTAAGTCAAATGGAGTGATTACACATTACATCATAATATTTGAAAGGAATTCTACAAACATTTCTGCTTATGATAAGGTGCATACTTTCAGAGATCTGCTATCAAATATTTCTTACCAATTTAAAATAAAAGCTGCAACATCTGCTGGTGAAGGAAAAGAACAGATATGCAATGCCAGCACATTTCCAGAAAAAGGTAACAATTTTTGGATTTAAAATTTTACTTTAATTTAAATGACAATTGAATATTTAGATCAGTGATGATATTCTTACATTTACTACAGCATCCCAATCCTTTCCCTAGTCAAGTATAATCACAGTTTAAATCTAATATCAGATAATGAGAAATGGGGCCTGCTCTCCAACCCCTGTGTTGAAATGTCCTTGATTGTAATCCCAAGGGACAGAGGTTATCATGGAATAGCCAATGGAGAAAGTCAGTGGGACTTGGAAGTACAAATAAAGAGTTATGTTCTTGCCATGTTAAGTTCGAGTTCTTATTTTGTTCATACTGTATCACCGAGTCCTAGTATGCATTGGCTCATAGCTAGATTGGGTATGTTTTCATCTTTTTGCTGGTGGCCTCACCTATTGAATATTATTACTAGGAAGGTTTTGTATGAGATAGTGGTATTTCTGCCAGTGACGTCCTTTGTTTTAATGTTAAATAGCCAATACTGCGAATTCACTCATTAGAAGTGCTACCATTCAGAGGTTGTTAATCAATAAAATCATTTAACTTCCTCCAATGTTTGTCATCTTAAGCTACCGTTGAAATGAACTTTTTAACAGGGGAAAAGACGGCAACCATATAGACAGTTTAGGGAAATTAATTCCTGTGCCTTTTTAATAAAGAGGTTATCTTCACACTTTCTTTTTACTAGTATATATTTAATAATGGGGCTACTTTTTCAGTGGCACTACTTGCATGAACGGGAGCTTTAATTTGCATCTCCAGCCTTGAAAGGCCTGGATACATCCAGAAACATATAAGCTCATTCCCAGTTGGAATATGTTTTTCTCTCTCATCTCTAAAATAATAAGAACGCATTAAAACACATAATATTACTTATTAGTTTCTCTCTGGTAATTGGAACTAACTATCTAATTGTCTTTCATAAATAACGATGAGTCAGATAAGTATGGTGTTAATGTCATATCAGAAATTCTTGCTTACAGTACTAGTGGGGGTATATTTGAAAGTCTATTATAGTGTAACATTTTTCATAAAGTTGAGGTCAATGGGGCTATTCACATGCATGTGAGGGATACAGGGTTGGTACCCAGTTTGAATCGGAATAAGTTCTGCCTGAATATTAAAGAAGTGAAGTGTAGTTTGTCCAGCTCTGATAGTTCAAAAAAGCTTCTAGTAAGTGACATGGTGAGGCCTCATCTGGAGTACTGTGTCCAGTTTTGGGCCCCACACTACAAGAAGGATGTGGAAAAATTGGAAAGAGTCCAGCAGAGGGCAACAAAAATGATTAGGGGGCTGGAGCACATGACTTATGAGGAGAGGCTGAGGGAACTGGGATTGTTTAGTCTGCAGAAGAGAAGAATGAGGGGGGATTTGATAGCTGCTTTCAACTACCTGAAAGGGGGTTCCAAATAGAATGGATCTAGACTGTTCTCAATGGTACCTGATGACAGAACAAGGAGTAATGGTCTCAAGTTGCAGTTGGGGAGATTTAGGTTGGATATTAGGAAAAACTTTTTCACTAGGAGGGTGGTGAAGCACTGGAATGGGTTAATTAGGGAGGTGGTGGAATCTCCTTCCTTAGAGGTTTTTAAAGTCAGGCTTGACAAAGCCCTGGCTGGGATGATTTAGTTGGGAATTGGTCCTGCTTTGAGCAGGGGGTTGGACTAGATGACCTCCTGAGGTCCCTTCCAACTCTGATATTCTATGATTCTATGACTTTCTAATTCTTAGGCAGACACAAAGCAAATACAAAAATCGGTGGAGAGATATATTAAAGTCTGATTTGCCAGAAGTTTAACAAATTCCTCTTTATTCTGTGATCTATATTGTATGGACCTGGGAGCTATGCCTATTTTTACTTAATTTTCCATCTAAGAAATATAAAATCTTGGGTTACTTTTTGTTTCTTTGCGATAAAATTATCTAGGGAGAATTCGTAAAATGTGATGCCTTTAATGACACTTGAATGTTGAAAGGGCAGATAATTGGAGTTATAGCTGGAAGAATATGGACTAAGCAGCATTAATGAAGATTCATTCAGATTCTGATTTGGCTGTTCAGTTCAACCATGCTTGTGTACCTTTTCATATGTTATTTGTGAACATTCTCATGCCTTTTATTTTGTTCTCATGAATGTATGGGGGCATCTCTGTACTGCATAGGACTACAGTATTCACATGAAAACAAACATATTTGTATCTGAGGAAGAATATCTGCTATTTGTTATTTATTTCTGAGTAATTGTTACTAGTTTTCATGTAAATATTTCAGTTATCCAATCAAATAATAGACAACACTTCCACATGACTTAGTTGTGAATGATGCCATGAATGATGAATAGTAAATATTTGAAGTGAACAGTCCATAAACCACCAAAAAACTGAAAATTGTATGTTCAAACTATTTAACAGATCTTTATGAACAATTAAAATATTGGATACATTTGGGATTGCTATAGAAATTATTGCTAAACAGAATAAAGAGCTGTTAGCTAACTGATCTACAGTGAATAAGGTTACCTAATTCACTTGGAAAATATAGATTTAGAGAATTTACAGTTTCAATCCAACTCCCGCTGAAGTCAGTAGAAATATTCCCATTGACTTCAATTGGATGATAACCTTTAAGAGGTGCTCCCCCATCAAAACTGTGGGAATTTATTTTAAAAGGATGTATGATTAGGGTGACCAGATGTCCCATTTTTAAAGGGACAGTCCCATTTTTGGGGACTTTTTCTTATATGGGCGCCTATTACCCTTCGCCTCCTGTCCCGTTTTTTCATAGTTGCTATCTGGTAACCCTATGTATGATAGGATACTGGAATATAGTCCATTATTTTATTCTTTGACTGATATAATTTGAGATATTTTTTTCATTTATTTGGGCATACTGTTTTCTCTGGATCTTTTGTATTATTGGAAAAAATCAATTAATTTATAGATTTCAATGTGGCACCATGTAATGTTATGTGTGGGTTAGGTGTTTATTTCGTTGGAATGACAGGGCATGACTGAAAACCCATTTAGCTTTGCAACCCCCATTTTAGTGCATTTTTCAAATTTTTATTCTTGGGGGGGAAAAGTTTATTTTATTAGTTATCTTTACAACAGTGCCTGTCCAACATTTTAGGTGCAGAACATTAATGCATTCAAAAACTCAGTAGATCAAATTGAGAATAAAAGGAACTTCCAGTCCATCACAGTAAACTTAAACTTCTCTCCCTCCATCCTTTGCCATTCAACCCTACTCAGACCCTCAAAAAACTTCCACCTGGAAAAATCTCGGGAAATAGCATCTTGTATTATTTTCTTGAAAGTCTTCTAATCTGGACTCTGATGGACCAAGGGTGAAGTGATCACCAACCTCTTCATGCCCTGATTCAGCAAAGCACTTAAGCACATTCTTAATTTTACACATGTGCTCAAGTCCTCATGCAGTCAATAAGACTTAAACACACGCTTAAAGTGAGGCATGATCTTAAATGCTGTGTTAAATTCTGATAGATATAAGCCTATGCTTAACTGCTTTACTCTATCAGGGCCTACACTAGCTATAATTTTACCGGGAGACATTGCTTTTTTAAACCCAAATTTGATTTATTTTGGAATACCGTGTGCATTATTAATGAGAGATTTACCTGAGTAAAGGCTGCAGGACTAGGCCCTAAAACTACAAAATATGGATTATTGCTCTAAAAGAACTGTAGCTCAGACTTATGTTGTTTAACATTTGATTTAAATTTTAGCACTTAGTCATATTTACAACAAACTGGTTATTAGTAGGACAATATCTTCTTAACTGTGTGTTCACATGAATTGTTTTCTGATGAGTGGCTACTAGGAATCGAAGATTCATGGTAGGGAATGGAAACAGTTTTATAGCTGTTGTCAGCTTCTTATTTATGGTGGTCTAAGATTAGTTACAGAATACATAGCCAGCACTGAGTCACTGACAATGCATTTATTTTTGACATAAAGTGAAATCAAATTTGGTTCAGTGTCTCATTGCATAGTGTCTAACCTTTACATTCCTTGCAAAGACTATTTGATTTTTTTTTATGTAAACTTGTTCATATCTGGGTATTACTAAACATGGATCATGAAGATTAAATTTATGAGGAGATTAGTGTTTGGTGTCTAATCTAGCTTTGCTGTCATGGTAAACCACTTGTACCAGGGTAGAGTATGTTATGACCCACAAAAAAATCTATGAACTTTGTGGTAGTTACATTACTTTGTGTTTAAATATTTTATATAGGATATGAAAGATAATATAGCAAGATTTTAGGACTGAATAACTATCCTTAGATTATATCCAAGGAAAGATGCATATTATAATGGGATTTCATTAGGGTTGGGTGAATTTTCAGAGGACAAAAACTGCCTTAAACTGGTAAGAAAATGTTCTCAAAAGATTCTCTCTATTTTAAACCTGTCCAGGTTTACCAAACTCTAGGACAAATGTAATAGTCATTTGCAAATAAAAATTAAGCATATTAAAGTACCATTTTTAATTCCAAAATGTTGAACAATTAAAAATAGAAACTCCTATTATGTTTCATTTGTAAATTTTCTATTTTACTCAATCCATGCTCACTGTTTCTTCTGCCCTGAAGCTTTTAGTTACACACTCACACTAAATTAAACATACCATTTTCAGCATGAAGAAAAGATATCAAGTTAGTTTGCCAGGCTCTATTTTCAGTGTTATGGTGCACGGTGTAATTTTCTTTACTGTCTCCTAGTATTATTTAATATTTATATTGTGATAGCACCTAGGGTCCTCAACCAGCTCAGGATCCCATTGTGCTAGGTGCTGTTCATACATATATAGTAAATGACAGCCCCTGCCCCTGAGAGATCCTATACTTTCTTCTTCATAGATTCATAGATTCAAAGGCCAAAAGGGACCATTGTGATCATCTAATCTGATGTCCTATATAACACAGGCAATAGAACTTCCCCAAAATAGTTTCTACGGAATATCTTTAAGAAAAACAT